ACAGCGTGTGTGTGTGCATCCATGTGATTGTGTGTCTTTGTGTGTGTCATACTTGTCTTTGGCCTCCACAGGGGGTTTTGGGTTCAGTTCTTCAGACAGGGTGACCGCTTTCACCTTGGCGGACTGATGGGATTTAGATTCTCTCTGCTGGGGAACTTCTGTAGAGACACGCAGCAGGCTGAGTAGGTTCATTGCACTTATCTCACTCCCAATATAGCATCTCCAAATCTATCATCATTGATTCTACCATTCTGCATGCTACGGATATTTTTGTTACGTCCTGCTAATTCAGGAATTTTTTTTGTTTTGTTTTTTTTAATTTGAATTTTCAGTAACTGGTTCCATATTGGTAAAATGCTTGGACTCATTAAGCTTCTACTAATCAGTTATCCACTCCTTTATTTTTAGCATAGAGCTGTCATTTTCAAAATTCAATCCAAATTCAAAATAAATGCTTGAGTCAAAGCTAGAAGCTGTGCAGCTATTTAGGCAGTTATCTTTCAATATGAAATCAAATTAAGTCTTATGTCACCAAAATGATTATGAAAGCAACTCCTTCAAACAGCTAAAGCAATAAGTACAAATGACCTACATGATAAATGATAACTAACAACATTTACACCATCTTGTGTTTGTTTCAGTGTCTACAGCTACTGCAGCTCCAGCTCAGCCTCACAGTGAGGAGCTAATGTCTTTTATCTTTGTTGCAAGTTAATAAGAAATTTGAGAGGGTATGGATTTGATCCCATTTTTAATTTAGATTCATTAGCGCTATTAAGCCCTGACCCTTATTGTTAGGCTTGTACAAAAGGCTTTTTCACCTCCTGCATTCCTCTGGTCTGGATCTGGCGATAAACACCATCCATCTTTGTCACCAGCTTTGTTTTCCAGCTGAGGAGAGCAGACAGTTGGCAGAGTGATGGGGTTGGCAGTCTGTGGCCTCTGAAGCCTGGACACTCCAGCAGACAGTAAAGAGACACTGCTGCCCGGTCTCTGGAGGGACAAAAGTACCAATAATCCTTATAAACTCATATACTCTATATTCATTATATGCTGCAACATGCACACACACACATGCACTTCTTTATACTCACCTCATTAAAGGCTAACAGCAGCCTACCAGTTCCATCCATGGCATTAATAAATTCTCTGTTGAATTTCATCTGTACCTTTGAAGTACGTAAACTGAGGTTATTTGGATGGAAAACAGGGTGTAGCCCACAGTGTGAATCACAGAATAAGAAATACAGTACGAGCAGCTGAGCCACCTTGCTGTTCTTAAATGACAGAACTCCAATCCCCTGGAAGGTGATGAATACGTTTTGTTCTGATGCCAAAGCTCTACATAGGAGCAGCAGAGTTTCTCTAATGCAGCTCTCCACCACGTCTCGACTGAACGGAGTCTCTTGAGACACAGCTGTAAAGTTTAGCTGCATCACTGGTAGGTGTGTTGCTGCAAGAAACACACACAAATCCTTATTGTTCTTTTATATGTCAATGCAATTACAAAACCCTACCTGACTACTGACCGGTCCTCACAGAAAGAGCAAGCGTTACAGTACTAGCATCCCTGCACTGGCTTCCTGTCAAATACAGAACTGATTTTAAGGTTCTTCTGTTTGTTTCTAAAGCCTTGCATGGGCCAGCACCTGAGGACAGTTCAGAGCTTCTCCGCCCCTACTCTACCACTAGGCCACTGCTTTTAACTGTTAGTGGGTTAGGGAGATTGTGCCTTAGCTGTGGCAGAACCAAAGTTTTTGAACATCCTTCCCCATTGAATTAAATGTCCTGCTCTACATGTTTTCATTTTATCCTGTCCTGTCTTGCTTTTTAAAATTGATGTTATGCTTATTTTACTGATTTTATGTTTGTTGCTGTTGCCTGTCCTTGCCTTATTGTTCATATTTTTTATATATATATTTTACGACATGTACAGCACAGTGCTATATAAATAAATTATTTCAACTGAATTACATTGAAGTGGAATTGAAAATGAATTATTTCTGATCCAGTGCAGCACTGTAAGATACAGTAAATCCAAATCTCATCTATATATTTTTTAATCAATGTAGCTGTGATTCTCCAGCATATCATGCTTTTCCCATTTACATTTTTTTAGGATTTATTTATCTTTTTTATAAGTGTGGTAGCACACTTTTGTTTTTGAAATTTCCACTACTGTGTTAATGTCTATGTAAAAACAATGAGTTGTTAATAAAATACATTCTCAAAACCCAGTAAATCCAGTGCAATTGTTTACTATGAAATAATAGAAAAGTTACAGGATAATATGGTCTGTTCTTATTGTCTTGAATCACCTAAGTCATAAAGTATTGCTCCACAGACTAATTAAAGGAGAATTTTGATATGCTGGGAAATGTGCTTATTTGCTTTTGACTGATACTGCCACTTCCTAACTAACTGGTCCTCACCAAGAACAGTCTGGCACATACAGTACATGACACTTTGCCACTTTTATATGTAGGTTTTTGTACTGAATAAACAAATAAACAAACAAGGTGCTGTGGTGTTTCCAGTCCTTATCCTAAGGTTACCTGGCAACTTCAAGGTGACAACAAGGTTTCAATTACAAAAGAGTCTTGCACATAATGCCCCTTCCCTCTGTCTCCTGCTTTTCTGGTAACCTAAGCCAACCAGCTGCTGCCTGTAGCTTCATATTTACTTTCATGAAAGTGTTATCAGAGAGCAAAAGTGTATTTCCCAAAATGCTGCACTATTCCTTTAAGTACTACTGAGCGCTATAATATATCAGTAAAGATCATCTCAAACGCTGAAACATTTTAACATTTACAACTCACCTGCAGCCAGTGGCCTGGCCTGCTTTAAGCCGAGAGACTGGGCCAGTTTCCCAGCCAGGACGAAGATGGGTCTTTGAATCATGATGAACTTGTGTCCTATATCCAGCTTCTGCTGAGAGAAGGTGAAGGTTCCCAGTCCTGCCAGGTGCACCCCCTATTACAGTAGACAAATCAATAGATAGATAGATAGATAGATAGATAGATCGATAGATAGATAGATAGATAGATAGATAGATAGATAGATAGGCGAACCTTCTGTAGGGTCATCTGACGTTCAATGTAGGCGGATACATCAGCCCAAATAGAGACAATATCTGAAAAATATTAATTTGGTTATTAGTAATATGGATACGTCGTGAATTGCCCACATGGACACTTTGTCAGATACCATGCTGTCACTGATTAAGCAAAACTTTTTGTCCGACCGTTTTCTGAGAGCTGGGAGAGCGTAGGTAAAGTCCGCCTGTGCGCTTCTGACACCATCCGCAGTATGTCAGTCATCTCTGTTAGATAGCTGGATAAAAAACTCCACAGGACGAAGCTTTAAAAAGTTTCTCTAAATCCCGTCCTCTCCCTTCTTGCCTGCAACAACCAGAGCTGAAGACGAGCTGGATGCCGCGGTTGCCCTTAGCGATGCGCGCCCGCAGCGGACGCACCGCGCCAGAGCGCAATGGTGCGTAGTAGCCTACAAGGATTGCTCAAGTGAGTCAGCGTACATTTTACACTTGTTATAGCTAAATAATTGGGAACCATGAATGAAAATGTGAAAAGTCAGATTATTATTCTTAGCAAGTAGGGGCTTTCACAGCTTCAAACCATGAAGCATGTATCCTCTAAAATGCTTTGTCATCAGCTGGCCATCCAAATCATTGTCAGGCAGAACAAAAGTGACCACAACATCAGAAGATCAGTACACTCAGCTTTTGTCACGTGTAGTTGGAATGGCTGAGGAAGTCATTAGAAGTTTGTTGATGATAAATTCTGTAGAATCCTAAAATAGTCCGAATCGCAATGACTCATGTGACCCGTTACGTTTCGTCGTAGTTGCAGGACTGGATCACTCCATAAATTACAGCGACACATGCAACGTTTAAATGCGTCGACCAGCTTCCAGGAGCCGCACTGGTAAATCCCAACTCTACCATAAATGAAATAGGCCATTAAAATAGCAAATTTCTAGCTCCGTGTGCTAGAGAATGTATTTCTATAGCCTAAATCTACTTTTCTGTTATGAAAGGAAACACAAATATGTGATAGGCATATTTGTGTCTTTATGTTAATGTCAGTGAGATTATTTAGGCTTTTAGTCAGGTGCTTTCTAGTGTTGAATAAACATAGACCTAGCATGTGATAACTATTTATCTAGCGAGGGATTTCAAGACTGGTCAAGGTTATGTCCCACCTCATCTTTCTGTTTCAGTTTACATAAAGAGGCCTAGTGTTCAACTACAGTGCAGAGATTTCGACACAACACCACAAGAGGCTGGAGGTGCGCTTCTGAGAAAACATTACTCTTCTGGATGTGGGGTGTTGTCGTGAGGATGGTGAAAATGCTTCTGGTACTCCTGCTTCTCCTCCTTACATTATTGTCAGGTATGGGAATGACCACTTTAATCATGTCAACAGGTGAATCTGTGTGGTGTTAATATTCCAAATTCAAAGTGTGAATAATCATTATCTGACCTATATCTAATTTACTATGTGTAATTAAAACTACAGTCCTACTGTACAGTGCATGAAGCAGACTAATAATAAACATTCAGTGTGGAAAGTACCGTAATTTACTCCAGTGTTGAGGTACTTGTACTCCATCGAGTTAGTATTTTATTTTAAAGCTACTTTTACTTTTTTAGGTTAATATTTTTACATTAATAACATGATACATTCGTGTAATTAATGACTTTGTTAAAGATTAAACCAGTGGTTCGGAACAACAACCTGCTAATGAATGAATCGTTAATGAGCAGCTCCAGAACAAGAGGACTGGTAGATAATGATGAGTTACTACACAACTGACTGGGAGATACTACTAGTAATACTAGTCTGGATTTGCCTGTTACAAAAACCCCTTTGTAGGGTCCCGTACACTGGTCTGAAGTGTCTAAGCTTATGAAAAATAATTAAAACTAGTGGCACGTCGATCAACTACAAGAGTAAAATGTTCTGGTTTTATCAGTATTATCAATATTCCGTACTTTGATATAAGTTCAAAGTACAGTAGTAAAGTTGTCAAACTCATATGACAGTAGTCACCAAGAAATTGGGATGTAGTCAGATCTTGTCAGGGTTTTGGTTTGGCTTCTTGTTGCAGGCTCTTATTTTGAAGGTATGTCCTGTCTGCTGCTTGTTTACAATCCCCAGCTTGACACTGCCACTGATTACCGCCCATTATGTCTGCGCCATACCCTACCTGTCGTTCCTGTTTTGCCTCGTTCGCTAGTCGTCACCTCCTGCTTTGTCCTTATCTGCTTCTTGTACTACTTGGTTCAACGTACATTTGTTCAGTTTACCGTTCACTAGTCCTAATTAAAGCCTTACTGTGCCAGTCAGTAATTTCCATTTCCCATGTCTGCATTTGGGTCCTGTAAACAACCCTGACAGCTCTAGGAGTGTCCATTATGAGAAACATTGTCACAAATGTCTATAGACAACACATCTTATACATTCAGAAGCACTTCTGTGATTGGTCGACAGCAGTAAGAGTTTGATTACAAAATCAATTGGCTACATTTCATTGACACAGCAAAATATTTTTGGAATATCATTATGTTCATGTTTTGTTTTGTTTTTTTGGTCACTTGTACAGGTGCATCTCCCCAGAAACCCAGACAGATAATTGTTAAGGCAGGTGAGATGGTGGTGCTGGAGTGCCCTCGTCACATAGGATATAATCACGGTGAAACCAAACTGGTCTGGACCAGTTACACCAGACAGGAGATGTATATGACCACTGATGTGTCATCAGTTGAGCAGGTGCCAATGGGTGTGTTCGTTCTTGGGAGAAGTCTTGTGATTCTCAGCGCATCAGTAAACCACCAGGGGAACTACTCGTGCTCTCTGGGGTAAAGTCCAAACATCCCTATAATAACTGTATCTGAGTTTGATATTGAGGAAGAATTTATGCACCATAAATAGTTACAGAAAACAGAATGTATTCATAGAAATTATTTTGGCTACAAGATACTAAGATCAGTGATCACCTCTTTTCATTATTAATATCTTGATAAACACAGCATTTTGGATTTTATATGCTACATACAGTAAAAAAATATTAGTACTTATACCCCAGAAGCAAATTTTGTCTGCTGCTAATTGTTGTCCTGTGTAATGTCATTCTGCAGTAACAGGAATGTTGTCAAACTACCACAGTTTTTATCCAAGCACCGAGCTGTTGCACTTGTTGTTTACCATTTGTGACCAAAATATATTGAAGGACAAACAAATCTATGAGTCAGCAGCCACGATAGCAGCTGTGTGAGGCTGTACTTGTAACTACAGCAATGCACTGAGCTAAATGTTAATATCCAAATAAAATGCTAATGTGCTGAAGCCTAGTGAAAACAGTGTTCACTGTCTTAGTTTAAGAGTTTGCATGGTCACATTTGCTAATTAGCACTAAACTAAGTACAGCTGAGGCTGATGGGAATGTTATTAGTTTTTTCAGACATTTTGTCATTTGTAAATCAAAGTATGGACAAATTAAAAATGCACCCTGATGATGGCAATAGAAGAAACATTCGCACCGGTTATTGTTATGCTGAGGGGGGTATCGTGAAATTTCAGCACAAACTTTAACAGCAATCCATGACTGTGGCCTAAAGTAGTGGTTTGGGGTTTACAGTATTTTCCAGTAATGCTACTAGTATGGTCAAAATGGCTCTTATCCAGAATTGTATCTCTCCATCATGATGATTTTTATGTCATTTGTTAGCACAAGGGCTTACTGTAACAGCAATGAACCAAATTCCCCTGAAAATAGTTTTGTGGTAACAGAACATTTCCACATCTTGCTCAATCATACCAAAATTATCTGGATGAACAAATAGAACACTGGCCAAAAGGAAAGTCCCTAAATGTCCATAAAGGCCATGCTTTGACTTTTAGAACCTTTGCCCCCTAGTTCAGATCTACATGGAAGTCTTCAATTTTTTTCCTTAAATTTTCTTTTTAACCTTCATATCTATATAAAAATGTTTTCTTTGATGGCAACAGGAATGACAGCAGACCGTTCTGGTTCAGGCTGACAGTCTACACAGCGCAGTCCAGAGAGTATGACAAGAGGACCAAGCATCCTGTGACATGTTACACAAATGAGTCCTGCAAAATGCATTGCCCTGATGTAAATATCCCAGCTGCAAATATCCTGAATATTACAAACAATGGCTTTATATGGCACAAGGTAATTTTACACAGCAGATTCTGAGTGATTTGACTGTTGAATAAGAATCTCCATTCATGAGAGTATGAAGAGAGTCTTGCATATTGAATTGCCCTGACACAAATATCTCTACTATAAATGTTATCAGTATCAGCATTACCCCTGTTTGGCACATGGTGAAAGAGATTTGGTTCTATAAATAGGCCATAAAGCTACAAAGACATCAGGATTTACTTTTTTCAAAGCACACTATAGATTTTTGGGGAATTGGACTTTGTTTTTATGGCTGGTTTTATTTGACTTCATAACTAAAAATTCAACCTTCCATCTCACAAATAGTCAAATACTTCTCAAGTGTGGAAATGACACAGTCCAGAGAGTTTGACGAGGGGGACATGTACTCTGTGACATGTTACACACATGAGTCCTGCACAATGCATTGCCCTGATGTAAATATCCCGCCTGGAAATATCCTGAATATTACCAACAATGGCTTTATATGGCACAAGGTAATTTTACACAGCAGGCTCTGAGTGATTTGACTGTTAAATAAGAATCTCCACCATATATCATTCATTATTTCTTTTGAACAAATTTGTAATGTTGAAATGTTCATTGTACATTTGGGAATGAAATGGGGTTTTCATTCCTTTCATGATTAATTTTCCATCTTGTAGGAGGGTGAATCACTGCCAAAATCCAGTTACTTCTCAAGTGTGGAAATGACGGACCATGGTGTCTACACCTGCACCAGATCTTACCTGTATCGCGGTCAAATGTATAACATGACCTTTACAGTGGAACTTGATGTCAAGCACAAGAGTAAAAAAAGTCACTGACACAATTATCTTCATAGACTTTGTTTTTGAAGTGTTACATGTTTTTGCTTGTTGTTGCACAGGAAAATATGGGCAATCAGTGATACTTTCACCGCGTGATGGTGTATTTGATGTAGATTTAGGTGAGTTTGTGTCACTTTGTAGATACTGTACACACACCACACTTGGCTGTAGCTTTAAAATGAAAATAACTGCAGTTTGTCTAACCTTTGCTCTTTTTTTTTAAGGCTCAACAGTGGTGATTGATTGTAAGGCTGTTTTGTACTCAGACTTCGATGAGGTGTTCTGGTTAAGTGAGGAATCATTTGTGGAAACCAACAACAACTTATCAGTTTTCTACAATTATACACGGTAAGCACAGCCCCCATATACCAGATCTCACAGCGAACTATGGAAACAGTATATGTAGCCACGAAAGTGTACACATATGACAGCTAACAGCTGGGCTTCTAGATATCCCCTGTTCTCCACTTCCCTTTTAGGGAAACAAATATTGATGAAATATGGATGACAGCAACCCTGGTCTTCGTAAAAGTGTCAGAGGAGGATCTATTTAAACGTTACACCTGTAAACTGGAGTCTGTATCTGAGCTTTCAAGCTTCGTCACCATCACCCTGGCCCAAAAACGTATGTAAGAGAGACACATACAGAGCTTTGGCTTTAATATGGTAAAATCTAAAGTCTGCTACTTCTAGCGAGTTTATTTAATAATTAGAAAATCTCCCAATTTGGCTCTCAGCATTGTGGGCATCCTGGTAGTGATCATTGTAACAGTAGTAGTGTATGTGAAATTTAAAATCGACATCATTCTTTTCCTAAGGGACACTCTAGGCTGTTATAGGAGCACCTCAGGTGAGACTTGCATTTTTGGCCATTTGTTTCAATTAACTTTTGTATCACAAGTTCATATTTTTCCATGCACTTTGTGCTGTGAACTGTAGGGCTTCAGCAGTGACAAGGCTGTGGTTGTTGTTTGATTAGATGGAAAGCACTACGATGCCTATTTGATGTGTTATAAGAGTGACGCAGTGACAGGGCTAAATGAAGATAACACAAAATGGCTGGAGAGTATTTTGGAAGAGAAGTTTGGTTACCATCTCTGTCTCTACAATCGTGACATCTTACCAGGGAAAGGTATGGTAAAAATTGATGTTAAATTGACATAGATATTAATATAATTCATTCCTTGCATAGTTTGAATGGAATATTAATGAAATGATGTGTAACCTGGTTTCAGCTGAAGCAGAAGCAGTGTTAAACTGCGTAAAGCAGAGCAGGGTGGTGGTTCTTGTTCCCAGCTCTCCAGATTCTGGTCAAGGGGCTGACGTGCTAAATGACATCCACACAGTCCTTGTGGAGCAGCAGACTCGACTGGTTTTCATCAAAACTGACACAATGGAAGTGTCGTCATCAGGTTCATTACCAGAGGCCCTGCAACTTCTTAGTGAGACTGGAGACTGTGTCACCTGGAAGGGCACCGCCTCCATGCTGCCCTCCTCCTCCTTCCTCCAGCTGTTACGTTATTACCTGCCTGCCCCACAGCATGAATCAAAAATTAGGCAAATACCTTAGTCAGCTACCCAAGATGATTACTGTTAAAATCCATCACACAATCATCCACAGCATTGAAACCTACCTGAGAGTGTGTAGGTCCCCCTCGAGATACCAAACCTAATATTCAGGGGACCTGATGGTATGTGAGCTTTTCTGATGTTTTTCCTCCACCTAGTGGCACAAGTGAAGGTTAATGAAAGTAGCACATATTGAGGCCACTTCTACACTTGATTTATTCAGGCCAGCTGACATGGCCCCAGGGCCTTATGGGAGGTTTGTTGCTGGGCCCCTGTTGGGCTCCACTGTACATAATTTCCCCAGACAAATATAGAAACCCACTGCTAAAGCTGAAATGCTTAGTTGATTAATCAGTATACCAATTTTGATGACCGATTATTTGGTTAAGTAATTTTTAATCAAAATGTTCGAAAATGTATCGATAGCCACAGATGTGAACATTTTCCTTTTTTATGATGATGGACTTTGGAGGGGCTTAGTCAAGTCTCTGAAAATACTCCTGCTGATGTCATCAATTAAGAGGACTGGAGCTATTTCTGTCTCCTGTGAGGGGAGATGGACTTTAGGGAAGTGCAGTGCTACACTATATCACAGGACTATACTTTAAAAGGGTGGTTTTAGCTTGTCATACCTTTTAAATGTTGTAGTCTATTTCTGATCCCTTGTTAACCCTTCTCCTGATAATATATGTCAGTAGTTCTTCAGTCAAAGAGCCTTTTTTCTTGTTGAGTCTGAATGACTTTTATAATCATGAAGAAATTACAACTGTTCAGGAACTCTCCAAGAAAAAAGAAAAAAGATAGGAAAGTTTGAAATTATAAATGTTTTTTTTTTTGTAGCAGAGATGTTATTGCACATTTCATACACAAAGGCAGGTCAAAGTGCTTTGACCGACCTCCTATTAATGTAGCTAGCGGCTTGTCTGAAGTTTCTTTTAAAGATCTCACAGAATCTGAAGGTTACTTTTCTCCATTTGCACTCAGCAGCTTCTCATTAAGTAACTAATCACTTGTGACACAGCTGTAAAGTTCAGCTGCACATTGTGTTGCTGAGAACGATATAAAGGCCGACATAAATGCAGTGGTGGATGTAACAAAGTACATTTACTCAAGTACTGTATTTAATTATTGGAGCTATTGAGAATTTCTATTTTGTGATTTATACTTCTAGTTCAGTATATTTCTGAAGAAAATATTGCATTAATACTCTATTTTACAGCTGTTTTAAATTTGTTATATTAATATATGACCACTTTATATTTAACTATGCTGTTGAAATTTGTTTTACGTTAAAATTTTGCTTACATTGTATTAATGACACACTGAATAGAGCCATGCTGCATAATGAGTACTTTTTGTATTTAAGTATATTTTGCAAGTCCATGTACTATCATCAGAGTAAGATTCTGAATGTGTTGGGGTGATTTTTATTTTATGCACTTAAGAATGGTTTTATTTTATAACACACATAAGTTTACATACTTATATGTGACTGTTATGTTTATATAGTTATGAATATCACCCTATGTGTTCACTGAAACACTGGTCAAATATTTGCTGTGTGAGTCACTGAAACACTAATGCAACATCATAAGTCTTGTCCACTAAATTACTGAATTTCATTAGATTTATGGCTGAAGCTAAGGGAGCTCATAGTTACGTATCGTTCCTCTGGACTGGTGGACCCAAAGGAGTCTTGGTACGGTAAG